CTACCTGCCGGCACTGGCCGCCGACTGGCTGCAGGGACCCTACCTCTACAAACTCTACCAGCACTACCGCTTCCTGGAGGGCCAGATCGCCATCCTCTACGTCTGCGGGTTCGCCTCCAGCGTCCTTTTCGGGTTGGTTTCTTCTTCTTTAGTCGATCGCTTGGGTCGGAAGAAATCCTGTGTCCTTTTTTCCTTGACCTATTCGGTTTGTTGTTTGGTCAAACTCTCCCGGGATTATCTGGTGCTGGCGGTGGGGAGGGTTTTAGGGGGGTTGTCGACGGCGTTGCTCTTCTCCGCCTTCGAGGCGTGGTATGTCCACGAGCACGTGGAGCGATACGATTTTCCGGCCGAGTGGATCGCCGTCACCTTTTCCCGAGCGGCTTTTTGGAACAACGTCATCGCCGTGGGGGCCGGGGCGACGGCCGATTTCTTCGCCGAGTGGTTGGGGTTGGGCCCGGTGGCCCCGTTCATGGTCTCCATCCCCCTCCTGGTGCTGTCGGGGGTCTTTGCCGTGAAAAATTGGGACGAGAACTATGGGAAGAAACGAGCTTTCTCCAAAACCTGCGGCGACGGTTTGAAATGCCTCCTCTCCGACCGACGCGTCCTTCTCCTGGGCGCCATCCAGGCTCTGTTTGAAAGCGTCGTCTACATCTTCATCTTCCTCTGGACGCCCGTCCTAGATCCCCACGGCGCTCCCCTGGGCGTCGTCTTCTCCGGCTTCATGGCCGCCAGCATGCTGGGCTCCTCGCTCTACCGCCTGGCCATCTCCAAGCGGTACCACCTCCAGCCCGTCCACCTCCTCGCCCTCGCTGTCCTCCTCGTTTTCTTCTCCCTCTTCATGCTCACCTTCTCCACCAGCCCCGGGCAGGAGAGCCCTGCTGAGCCCTTCCTCGCCTTCCTCCTCATCGAACTCGCCTGCGGGCTCTACTTCCCAGCCATGGGTTTCCTCCGACGGAAAGTGGTGCCAGAGAAGGATCGCCTGGGGGTGATGAACTGGTTTCGCCTCCCCCTGAACTTACTGGCCTGTCTGGGTTTACTGGTTCTGCACGACAGCGACCGTCAGACGGGCACCAGGAGCATGTTCGGCGTCTGCGCG